TGTTAGATTTAATCGGGTTTGTTCACATATAACCGAATGGGTAATGAGTCGATGTTTGGGTCAGTTAGTATAGAGTCAATTAGTGTGGTGTCGTTTAGTGTGTTTTACATATTTAATTAATTTAAATAAAAAACAATAGGGCAGTTTCTAAAAGGCAGTTATGGGTAGTTTCTATTGTTAATAGGTGTGTTGGTTTGTAATAGTTGTGTTGGTTAGTAAAAGTCATGTTGGTCTGTTCTCTATATATATATATTTAGTGAACACAAATATTCCTGTACAGTTTTTACATCAATAAAAATTCTATTCTGCATACCAATCTGTTCTTCCTATCAGTTTTCTACAATTGGTAAATATTTGTTTATGTTAATTTTGTGTGTGTATTTCCATTCCCATGTGGAGCCAAAGATTCACTATTTTTTAGCTTTCAGGTATGATGGAATAAAGTAAATTAGCTCTCTAAACTGTCTGCGCTTCTTGTAATTGTGAAGTAGCAGTTGGTCAATGCAACTTTCGACGTTCATCATTGGTTATCTGGAAACAACCGCTTTATGTTTTGAACATAGGGGTCACATTGCGTACATCCGACCCCCTTTACCCCGCAATGGGCGGGAGCCTTTGAGGCACTGAGGTAATGTTGTTGTTGTTGTTTTGTGTGTGTGTGTGTATGTATCATTTATGTATGTATGTATATATGTGTGTGTGTGTGTGTGTGTGTTGTCAGATTTCATTACTGGTAAATGAACATTGTTAGACCCTAGATTATTGCACCATATATCAATCTCTATAATAACGAGGTACCCTTCTCCAAATGGACATGTGTTCCCCTTTGTACTAGTGGATTCAACCCACACTCTTGAAACAATTGTGAAGTTGTCTAAAGTTGCAATCGTAAGAATTTTATTGATTGGTTATTGCTTTTGATATTTGGTTTTCGTTTTAAACTCGGTCATTCTTAAAGGTAATCCGTTTTAATCCGTTTAACATTCAAATATTTGACATTTAATCCATTTAACATTCAAATATCATATCTAATTCATATTCAATGTCCATTTTATTCAAATATACAACCCAGTTAGATCCCACAATAGGAGGGTCTAGGGAGGGTGTGTGTATGCAGACCTTACCCCTACGTTCAAACATAGTAATGCAGTTCTAAATAAATATGGTTCACAAAGTATAACTATTAAAAATAATGTATTTTAGATATTTATGTTACGTTAGTAACGTTACCCGAACTTTAAGTGTTTAACTCGTTGTAAGAACATTTAAAATATTAAATGTACGTAATATTATATTACTTTGGTTAAATCTGAATTTTAAAGGAGGGAGCCTATGCATTTAGTTATTTGTTTATTTTATTTATGTATTCAAATATTTGAATTGAATACCCTTGTATTCATATTCATATTCATATTCTTTTAACATTCAAATCAAAATGTACATTTGGATTTGAATTTGAAAAATTGGAATTGTCAAATAGAATCAAAATTATATGTTTTGTTTACAGCCCTAGATGAAAGAAAGCAAATTATAAGTTTGTGTTTCTCTTATGGCAGTCGACCTGTTACGACAAGCGCAAAGAGCACAAATGCTCAATATGTCCATCCTAATAACCTACAACTCTTTTATACCCCTGCCACAACACATTAAAAACTTTATAGCAAATGATCTCACAAAGAAGCTAGAAATACTTTATCATAGGCACATAGACTTTGCAATTCATGCTTTGCAGAAAGGCACCAGCCCGGAATCAAGCTCACACTAATCCTAATATTCCCATGGTGGAGGAGACTCCGAGGAGTTCATCAATTGTCTCTCTGAGTTCCACCACAAGTGGATCACCAATTGGGGATTAGTTACCAGCCTCAGAATCTTTGTTTTCGGCAAATCATGGAAGAAGAGGTCGTGGACATAGAAGAAGAGATGGTCATGGTAGGGGTGAACGTGTTCAGTACTCCTATGGCAAGTGTATGGATCATGCTCAAGATAAGTAATATTCTTTACATGGTTTCCAAGAAAAAAACCAATATGATACTGGGGGAGTGGGGGCTAGGTATGACAATCTGCAGTCAAATTGCTTCAAGTCAGAACTGATTTTTAGAATATGTAGTCTGGCAGCACTTTCACAGTCAAAGAAGCTTATAATTGGTTGATGGATTCTAAACCTAAACAAGGCTGGTCCCCCTTGGTTTGGAACAACTACCTAAACTCTGGTTCATTGCTTGGCTTATATGGAAAAGGAGAATTCTTAGTTTCTTACTAAGGAAAGACTTAGAAAATTATGCAGGTTGATATCAAATACATTATGTGTGAGGATGCAATTGAGACAATTGACCATTTGCTTTGTGCCTGTCCTTTTGCCAAGACTGTACATCTCTTATGACATAGCTGCAGATACCGTTGATGATATGGAAGCCAAAGACAAGAAGGGTTGCACCAGGAAGACTAGGAAAATACTGGCAGCCTTGATTGCAGCTAGCTACTATGAAATGTGGAAGGCCAGGAACCAGAAAATGCACTCTAACTACCAATCAATAAGGAGCAAACAACTACAAGGATCATTTTCCAGTTTAATGTTTATACCAAAAGCAAGCAGAGCAGATGGTTATGTACTGGTTTTGTAGCTTGTTTTAGCAGTTTTGGTTGTTTTTGTTTTGTTCCTTGTATTGAACTGTTTATTTGATTAATGAAAGGTGATTGTTTCCAAAAAAAGGTATGACAATCCAAAAAGGTGGCAACCATAATGTTCTTGAGCTGATAAATATATGGAGTACAATCAGCCAGCTTAAGGCTGCTCAACAGGCATCTTCAGTAACCATTCAAATATTGCTCATACTATTAATCCCACTTTGTTTATATCATTGACCTCATATAGGTCCCTAGATTATAGAATCTTGTGCTTCAGACCATTAGCTAATAACACTTTTCTACTTCGTCCCCAACCAAAACAGCACATCACCCCTGATGGTTGCTCAAAAACCTCAAAAATACAAGGAACTATTGGTCAAGCTTCACATCTTCTCTCAATATCTTTTGATGATGTCATATTTATATCTGGACTTCTTTTAGATTTAATCTCAATTATCCCATTTATTCAATCTTTTTATTGTTTCATTGCTTTATTTCTAATTCTTAATCAAAAGATGAATTTGGGGAAAAACATTGGAGTTGGATGAGCCACACAGTATATCAATTGTTAAATCCACCAACTGTTATTTTCTGAACAGATCAACAGATGAAGAAAAATATAGACCGGCTGCTCACCTTCACACCTGAAGATGATTCAACATTTTCGGATATCTCCAATTGTTCAGCTGATTTGCAGGGATATGCATTCATCTTCTCTTCCCATTCCCCAATTCCATCATCCTAAAATGATGTAGTCTGAGATGGAAAAACTTTTCAAATTATATTATGTTATCTACAAAATTAATGTCTACACTTGATTTACCTCATCAGTGGGTGAGTTTGTAGGATCCAGAAAAATGTCTTCAAATCCTATTCCATTGGAAAGTTTCCTCAAAACATCCTTGGGAAGTGGTTTCCCATGATAAGGAGGTATGACGTGCCCATGCATCCCATTAAATTCAAACTCCTTTAACCAAAACAAGAATAAGCAAACATATCACAAAAAATTTTTAAATGAACATTTAGAATAAAAATCCAAGATGAAAACAAACCTCCCATATTGGCATTAGTGATTGAATCATTTTTACTTTAGAACATGTTTGTGAAAGGGGTGTGTATGATAGAAACTGTAGATTGAGAATTGCTGCACGTACATGCATATGCATATTAGTTTTCAGCTATTCCAAGAACACAAAGTATAAAGAAATTCTTTTAACGTGTACAAAGAAAAACAACCATCAGTAACTGCATCTCCTTCAAGTTCAGAAGTACTTGAACGCTTCATGGCAGGAAGAACTTGATCAGTCAAAGTATCATCTTGACTAGAGTTCAGCCAAATCCAACCATCAGGAATAGTGGATGATATCCATATAGGTGAATCCAAACATGAATGAGAATCTAAAACTGCCTAAGTTTCCACAGAGAAAAAAAAACGCAATCTTTTATATCCAAAAAAAGCAACAGCTAGTAGCATATGCAACTGAAAATGTACCTTAGAATCTGCAGAAGAGGTAGGGATATCCATAGCATCTTTCTTTAGGTCGTTGTACTTGGCATTCCTTGGAGAGAAGGCCTCTGGTACTGGGTAACGAAATTTCATCTTTGATATGTGTAGATGACCCATCCCATACAAGTTATTATCAACCTAGATTATTTGGTTGAGTGAGTACCGACTAAGAGCCCAAGCAGCAACATAGTACAAATAGAGTAAATGTACCTAACTGTAGAAATTAAGGAGTTAACCTAAATAAACTTTTTCTGGTAAAATTACAAACATGTAAGTCTGTAATGCTTAAGATATGAAAACAGTGTTGGATCTTCAGACCATCCATTTTTATCTAAGATGAATTGTTAAAAAAATCCAACTTAAAACCTGTACTAGAGTAAATCGATGATAAGCATGTCAACAATTTTTTTTGGAGGGGGAGGAAGGGGGCAGGCTCAAAAGTCAAAACAAAAAGGAGATTTGTGCATGGTACATTGGCATTATACAAAACAGTTGGTAAAGAAATGGCATTTCAAATTTAGACAAGAAGAACACCTAACCTAAGTAGTAAAGTCAAAGATTACCAAGAATTGGAGAAGAAATGGTATGTGTGTTTCATGGGGCTGAAAAACCTTATCTAGCACAGCTCCTTCCTGAATAGAAACAGAAATGGATACACATTCCTACTTGACTGTTCAATAAAAAACATTATAAAGCTAAAACAAATAAAGAGGTACTTATCAACAATTAAAGGTGGCTGGAAAAAAGTGGTTGAGTTATTACAACAACAAAAACAAATCATTTAGGATTAAGACAGCTTTCTCCTTTTTGGCCAAATATAGGATGTCTAGAGCTTTAAGCCCTGTCATGGACATTTACAAACATATATGTTTTCATGGAACAACACTATCATACCTTATTTATCTTCAAAAGAACGATACAGACAAAGCCACGAGCAATATTCAAAAGGTAAATTTGGTTAGACTCTTTGAATCTCTTTAAGGAACATCAATACACACACACACACAAGCTCTTACAAATATAATTTACAAGGGAAAATAAGAAATAACTACCATGCACAAGAGAATTAGATAAAGCATCTGAATTCCAACTTGCCAAGTTAGACAGAATAATCTCCTACGAGAATTCCTCATTTATGCTTAGCAGACTAGCAACATTTCTCCTTTGTGTCAATTACAACATATAACACGACTGGATAAAATAGCTGACAGTGTTGATACAGAAATAGAGTTGATAAATATATGTACTGAACCATAGATTATTAAGTATACATGACAACCAGACCCAACTATGGTCCCTGATTGTAGTGTCTAGCGAGTAGAAACAAAAGTCAAGATATAGTGTAAGCATCGTGAACTAGTTCAGATTCCAACTAGGGAATCTAAACTTTTTCTGTGTGTAAGCATTTGTTGTCGGACAAGCTAGTGGGCCTAGATTACTTGACAGAGAGGGCTGTCTGATGTCGTACAGGTCTGGTTTGTACTGCTGATATCTACAACCAATTTATAGGCTACTCCTTATACATGAAATAAATCAGTAGAATATCGGCTAATATTTTTTTCACTTGACATCAAACCCATTTTTATGAGACCCTCATTTCCACTTTTTTAGTCATTGTCAACCATTGATATGGCCACCGATCCCATCTTCACTAGTGATACTCCTTTGATTTCTGAAATTTCCAAGTCATTAGTGATGTATGTGGGATAGGGGGTGATGAGAATTGTTAGATATCCGGGAGCGTCAACAAAGACTTTCCTTAGTCCACAAAAGGAAAAACAAATCAGGAGAATGAAGCCAATGTGTGGTGACTTTAATTGGGTTGAATTCATTCCTTTTTCCTATCTTGAAGCCCAAACCAACACCATTGTTGTCCTACATCCCACTTAGGCCGAACCATCTAAACCCCAAACCATCCCTAAGCATTCAAACCGCCTTGTCTTTTATTCCCTTTCAAATAAAGTCTTCCTCCACTTATTTTAAGTCCCTTGACCGAAAATAAGAAGACAAACCAAAAACCTTTTTTTGTTGTTCTTAAACTTTAAGTAATCAAATAACACACTTCCCCTCCTCTTCCTACATTATGGACGAAAGGTCCATCTCCCTAATCCCCCCCATTATCTCTTTAATGAAATAATGTATAATTGGCCAAAATTAATGTCAAACCATAAACAACATCAGGCCCTCCTTTGGCCTAATTATAGGCCCCAAAACATGCCCCCTTTTACTCACCACCATAACCACCAAATGTGCTTCCTTGTGCTCCCCACTTTGGCCAAACAAACACCCACAAAAGGCCAAAAGAACCTGACCCGCCACCAACCATATCAACCAGCCCTTGTTCCCCACTCATGGTCTAAAGCATAAGTCCAAATTAGCCTATCAATCTCCCCCTTTTGCTCCCCTACCTACTGGCTGAAATAACCCCACAAAACCAGCCCACATCTCTGAATTCATCCCACCAAAAGGACATGAATAAATGGCTATTATTCTTAACATGTGGAAGAGGAAGTTGCTTGGTAGTTTCTTTGTAGTTACATTCAATGTATTGTGTGTCCCCCCCCCCNGTTCTCTTGAGTGTGAGTTTTAGGTTCTAGTTATTTGATTGAGTGTGTAATATCTTGATTAAATACTAGAGTTTAACCCCAAGTTAATCTAGAGGTGAGCTTATCCTTTAGTAATAATTTGGCTCCAAATTAAGATAAGAGTGTGTTTATCTCTTATTCCTTATTTGGAATTTATCCCATCCTTTCTAAGCCCATCCTTCATCCCTGATTTTCCACTCTTCTTCATAATATCAAAAACCCTAAAGAACTCCTTTCACATACTCCATATTTTGTCCAGCCCATTCCCAACCTATACACCTCCATGTTCTTCCCATTTCCAAGCCTAGAAACATCAACTTGATAACACCCCCGGTTCACCCCTAACAAGAATGGTTATGTTATGCTCTTATTTTTAGTGATTTCTTTTCTTTATCCTAGTAAAGGGTGATTGGGAACGTGTTCGGGAGCAATGTTTAGTTTCCACTTCACTAAAATATAATTTTAAGTGTTTGCCAATCTATGTTAACTTATGAAATATGGCATCAAAAGTGCAAATTGAAATCTAAAAATGTTTTCAACAAAGGTAAGAGTAAATGATTTATGTTTCTCACTTAGCACTTCTGCTTTTTTAAGAAATCACCACATTCCCAAACACCCTCCTCATAGTCCAATACCCATTTTATGGGTGGCGTGGAGATGTTTCTTCTTCCAAATTTCATCTCGCACAGTCACTCCTCCTCAAAGATGGTATGGTTCGGACTAGTAAATGAGCCAGGCGTCCTTGTTCCTCAAGCAGTAGATGTTTACATGTTTTCAAAAGTAGATGTTCAAGCTTTACACTAGAATCAGAACGCCCAACCCATCACTACTCCAAACCACACCATCTTTCAAGAGTGACAGCGCAAGATGTAATCTCGAGGAAGGAACATCTCTACACTACCCATCAAATGGGTCTTAAATATGATGAATGTGTTTGGGGTTGTGATGATTTCTTAAAAAAGTAGAAGTGCTGAGTGAGAAACGGAAATAAGTTATACTCCCTCTGTCCCTGAGTTTGTGTCTACTTTTGACTTTTTTCGGTTAAAATTGGTAAACTTTGACCTTAAATTAAATAAAAATGATATTAGATATTGATACAAAAATAGTTTTATTAGATTCATTATATGAAATATTTTCAAAATATTATTTGCGGATGATATTGTGCTTATCGACGACACACGTGAGGGACTAAACGATAAGTTGGAATTATGGCGCCTTGCCCTTGAAACTAAAGGATTCAGAATAAGTAGGAACAAGACTGAATACATGGAGTGTCGTTTCAGCGGCCGAGATACAGAATCAGAGGTGAAAGTCAGGATTGACTCGCACCTAGTTCCTAAGGTAGACAGGTTTCGATATCTTGGCTCGGTAATCCAGGCTGATGGGGAGTTAGATGCAGATGTTGGACATCGTGTTGGAGTGGCTTGGGCCAAATGGCGGTTAGCTTCAGGGGTGTTGTGTGATCCGAAGATTTTGCCTAGAATGAAAGGTAAGTTCTATCGATCCGTAGTCAGACCTGCTATGTTATATGGGGCAGAGTGTTGGGCGGTTAAGAAGACTCATGTGCGTCGTCTGCATGCGGCGGAGATGCGGATGTTACGATGGATGTGTGGGAAGACAAGGTTGGATAGGGTTTCAAACGAAGTTATCCGACGTCAGGTAGGCATGGCACCTGTGGAAGATAAGTTGCGGGTAGCGAGGTTGAGATGGTTTTGGCCATGTGAGACGGCGGGATCCTGACGCCCCTGTACGGAGATGCAAGAGGATTACAGTTATTGGGGGAAGTAGGGGAAGGGGTAGACCTAGGAAGAATTGGAAGGAGGTGATTAGGCCGGATTTAGGACTTCTCGACCTGACTGAGGATATGGCCCTAGATAGGAACCTTTGGAAAACTAGAATTAGAGTAGCTGGATAGGAGCTTGGTGTTGTAGAGGTTGTTTTGTAGTGTGTTGTATTCGTTTGGAATATTCTGCTATTGCTTGTACTTGGTGCTTTATCTGTGTTATACTGTGTTCCCTTCCATATTTTTGTGCAGGTGGAGCCGGGGGTCTTTTGGAAACAGCCTCCCTACTTCCGAGTAGGGGCAAGGTCTGCGTACACACACCCTCCCAGACCCTACTGTTGTGGGATTCACCTGGGTTGTTGTTGTTGTTTGTTTGTTATTTTATCTAATTAAAGTATAATATATATTTTATTTAATTACTGGTCAAAGGTCAAAAATAGTTGACTAAAAAAAGTCAAAACTAGACAAATACTCAAGGACGAAGGTAGTACTTAGCTTTGAAGAAAACATTTTTAGAGCTAAGTTTGTACTTTTGATGCCATTATTCATAAATTAAAACAAATTGTTACACTTAAAATTATATTTTAGTGAAGTGGAAACTCAAAATTTGTTCTCAAACACACTCTCAATCAACCCTCTAATAAAGAAGAGAAGAAAATATGATGTTGAGAATAAAACAAATCACCACTTAAGATTATAGGCCTATAGCTTTCTACTATCATTTGGTCGAAAATACACCAAGGATAAGTCCTCGGCTAGCCCACCATGCTTTAGGATGCTTTAGGGAAAGTAATTTGACAAAACATAAAAAAACAAATTCCTTTAAATTAAGGAAGCATGTTCCCTTTTAATTTTCGACCATGTGAACTCTTTTTCATTTTTTTCTTTGTATAATCATTTCTAATGTTTCCCCTCCCTTTTCTCTCTATATAATTCCGCCATAGGTCATTGTAATAGCAAGTGAATTTGAGTAATGAAAAATATGAGCTTTACTTTGGTGTAGAAATCAGTGAAATAAGGTGATTCCATTTTATCCAAATCCATAATTCCATATATCTTATGAGTGCATTCTCTTCTTCCAATGAAGCCAAAGAATCACTATTTTTGGCTTTGGGGTATGCTAGAATAAAGCAAAGTGGATCTTTACACTGTTTGCGCTTCTTTTAATAGTGAAGTAATAGTTAGTAACGCAACTTTCAACGCCCGTCATGGGTCATGTGAGAACAACCACTCTATGTTTTAAACATAGGGGTGAGGTTGCATACGTGATTACTAGTGGTGCTTGAGGTCTCTTTGGAAACATCCTCTCTACTTTCGATTAGGGTGAGGTTTGCATACACACACCCTCCCCAGACCCCACTCTCCTGGGATTCAATTGGGTTGTTGTCGTTGTTGTTGTTGTTATGAGTGCTTCTCTTAAAAGGGAGTGTTAGGTTCTAGTTATGTAATTAGGAGTGATTCTTAATTAGATTCTAGGGTTAAACTTGAGTGAGATTTGAGTGTGTAATATCTCATATTCGAGCTTAGCTTATCCCTTATTAAGAAAAATCCCTATAAAAATACTTCTCTTCTCTACACAATTCTTGTCATCCCCTTTCCTTTCCATTTAAACAGCCTTGTCTTCAAAATGATAAAACTTGATTAAATGATCACCTTCCATGAACTTGTATCTCCAATGTTGCAGCCTTTTAAGTTATCTAACATGAAAAATATCGGCTCCAGCCCCCACCGATTCCTTCAATGCAAAAAAGGGACTGTTAACTTTCTTATCATTCCTGGCTCCATGGAGGTGGAAATAGGTTAAACCTATTTAATGCTCTAGACTATTAAGAAAGTTCAGGAAGCTGTGAAAATGACTTTGCTTGATAATGAGAAATCAAGTGTTTATACCATAGTCACAGAATTCGCTCCCAGAGCCGCGACTTACGTATTGGTACGATTCGTACCCAATCGCAAGTCGCTTGCGATCCAATCGCAACCGGTACGGCGATCCAAATCGCGATGGTACGGCGCTCCCAATCGTGATGGTATGGCGATCCCAATCGTGATGGTATGGCGATCCAAATACCTAGGTACGTCGCACCCATCGCCGGCGGTACAACATACCAGTGGCGACTTCCTCTTCCCAGCAAAGCAACGTCGACTTCCTCTTCCCAGTTTGCCTCTTTCCCTTTTCGACGATTTCTCTTTCCCAAGTCTTCTTAAATTGAGTATGTTCCATTTCCCAGGCACGTTCCACTTTCCAAATTAAATATTCCTCTTTCCCATTCTCATCATTTAATATTTAATTTAAAATTCAATTCACAATTAAATATTTTACTTATTTTTATCTATTTTTGTTTACTTATGTTTTGACTTTTGGTACGCCGAACCGAATACATGGTACACTGTACCGCTTTGTACCGAAATGAACCTACCCCCCTTCGTACCGAATTCATTACTTCTAGCGAATTTCGTACCCGTACCACGTACCCGTACCGAAATGTACCGTGATTTATGTGACTATGGTTTATACTGAAATCAAAGCTTAGGGGCCAAGATAACAACCCTTTCTGTAACTATTATACTCCTTTCGTCCCTTTACAATCTTCTCACTCTGACTTGGCACAGGTTTTAATGTAAGATGTTAAATGTTTTGACTTTCCATTTATGCCCTCCTCTTTAATTATTCAATTGTTTCGTCTTCTATCTCCATCCACCACACGCCTGCACCTGCCCTCCATTTCAAACCAAACCTCTTCATCCTAAATCAAAATAAAAATGAAAATCCCCTTCTGGAGACCTAAATCGTAAGTCAAAAAAATGTCAACTTCACCACCAAGATCTCGCACAGACATCAATAGGCAACTTCATCGCTTGGATCTTGTCTTCATCTCAACTCGCACCCATCAAAAATCAAAAGAGAAACTTGCTTAGATCTCATCGTCACTCCTTTTCATGGTGTTACTCCATTGCCTAAGGTTAGATTAGAAATCAAAATCGAAGGAAAGATGAGAGAAGAATGGGAGGGGGAAGTTACGAAGAAGAACAAGTTGGGGGGGAGTTTACGAAGAAAAACAAAGCAAAATTGAAGAAGAAGAAATAAGACAGGATAGTAGGAAGAAATTGGGGGATAGGGGACGAAGAAGAAAGGAGAAGTAGTGGTTTGGACAAAGAAGGTGAGACGAGTGTGTTTGTCATATATAGAGAGTGGGAAGATTCCAGAGGGACGGCCCAAATGGAAAGTGGGAAGATTCAAACAGAACGGAGGGAGTAGTGTTTTATATAATCTATGGCAGGAAATTGATCTAATTTGAAGGTGTTGCATTGGACTTTTTGTAGAAGAGTTATTCTTCCGTGGTCCTAAGGTCCACATGTAACATGTGGACCTTCTCACACTTTTCATGGGCTTGCAAGTGGATCTTCTTTTTTTTGCCAAAGGCCACAATTCTTTTACGATATCAATACACTGAGGTCCATAACACGAGCATGGACGGACCACAGAAGAATTTGCCTTTGAAGAAAAGAATCTGTATGATACAAAATCACTATGTCGCAAATGATGTGACACTTCCAAATACCAATAGAGCCCAATATGCCTTTTCTTTTTTATGCGCCTTTTCTCCTCATTCTATAGTGTCTATCAAACAGTGACTTGAGTGGCAGGTGTAAAGGCAATGATGTAAATGACACACACATAGGATAGAGAATGCAGAATTCTTGAGAATGCAGTATTTTAAGTGCAGGGAAAAAATTGCAGAAGCTGAGAAGAAAAATTAAAGGGAAACTGGTAGGGTGTAAAGCCACAGGTCAGACCAATTAGTATAGAAAATAAAGAGGCAAGTGGGAAAAAATAGTCAAGAAGCTAAAGCTGTAAGAAATTGCAAGAAATTTAATAAACATACATGTGGAATAAGAAAGAAAAGAACATGAAATATCAAAGGTATTGCAGATAACTTGCCCAACAGCCTATGACTGTCAAACTCCAATGAGTCCCAAATTGTATTAATCTCTCAATATCTCCTATGTTATAAGAATTTTTTATCTAATACAACTTGTTAATAAGGTAGATCATAAATTGATTGAAGAATTAAAGGAGAATTTTGGCATGTATCTATTACAAAGAGAATTTATTACAAAGAGTATCTATTACAAACACACAACACACTTAAAAAGAGAATTTTGGCATGTCACAACAAGCAAATGGCAAGTTGAACATTGAGGAAGAAGAGAAACAAAAAGTCAATATAGTTGTATGATTTACCCGAAGAAGACTAGCAGCGCGGGGGACATCCTGTGGGTAGTATCTTATGAATCCGTTAAGTTCAGTTGCAAGATGCTAAGATATAAATATTAATAGAAGATGTGCATATAAGCCAGATACTTTCGTGGTATCCAACTGGGTTTTTGTGTATGGACAAATAAGCCACATAGTAACGGGGGAGCCGGGGAGGTGGAAGCATGAGGTGCCAAATAGGCATATACATCATTCAAGCATAGAAAAATTGTTAAAAGGAGTCAAAAAACAGCATCCAGCCACATTATTAATGACTAGACTCCAATTGTCATTTTTTTCACTTATGAAAATTGATTGTGCAATAAATGAAAATATAAATTATTGGAAATATTCAGGATACAGATATATTTTCACAAATAGCTCATCTGAAGAATGATAACCATAGATCTTTTTCGCCCTGACTAGACTGCAACAGTGCACATGCTGACGGTTTAAGGACATATTGCCTTTAAGCTGTATGAATTTAGATATCAAACCGTGTGCATTTGTGTCAACATTAACAACACGGGAAAATGCTACCGATAAGAAATAGCTATCTAAACATGCCTCGTTTGAAATGGATATGATATACCTTCAGTGCCTTCTCAAGGGCATGGGATATGCTATTTGTGCAGTCTTCACCTGCGAAATCTTGTTAGAGGTGATGACACAGACTATATGTTAGGGATAGGAAACTAAATGATTCGCACATTTGTCTATATCCAAAGGGGATAAGTAAATTGAAGTGCAAAATGTTGATGATTGTATCTAAGAATCACAAACTTGTTAACCCATCTACTCAAAAGAGTGATACTACAAATCTAGTGGGTTCAGCTATATGAATTGTATTTCTGCATGAAGACTTCTTCAAACTAAGTGATATCAATCCCCTATCGCAACACTTCTTTTTTATAGTCTAAATCTTGTCTACCTCGTACTATTCTGGCATTTCCTCTCCTACACTCCTACTTTAAGGCATCCATTGATCTGCATTAATGGTGTCAAAACCATTTAAACCTACACTTTCTCAACAACAACAACGGCAAACCCAATATAAATCCCAACTACGTTGGGGTCTATTGGGTCATGATGTACGCAACCTTACCCAGCAAAGAACATAGAGGTTGTGTCCAATAAATCCTTGATGCATTGTTGCACTTATTGCCCAAAACATCATAGTAAGAGGCAAGGGAAGTTTAATGTGCCATTTTGATTTGGTCCATTACTAACCCAAAGCTAGAACATTGTAAAAAGTGACACTTTTAGCTCCATTGATATGATGTTCTCCTCACTCTAAATATACTAATCTCTTATATAATGATACGACCATGTTGTTGTTGTTTTTGTGATGTGTACATTCATTTTGGCATCCTCAATTCGTCATTCGTTTTAGGGAAACTTTGTTCCTTGATTCCATCATGTGTAAGAGAATATCAAAAAGACATTTACCCTAGCTACCCACCATGGTTTACCAACTTTTGATTTCTACTAAAAGAAGCGGAAGCATATATAGCCTATAAGCACAATGGTAACCCTTTTACACAGTTACCATTACACCTTATTATAAATGTAAAATACCGTGTTGGTCTGATTGATGGAAGAGATCTGAGCATGGAACATAAAAATAAGGCAGAGCCTGCAGGAAGATAAATTTTGGTTGTGAGAACTTTGCATATGATTATTTATGTCTAAAAAACTACTCAGTTAGGATGTCTAAAAGACTGATAATAAAAATATAATTCAAGGGTGACATCCATATAATGATACAAGCATATAACTTGCAGTCTTTACTTTCTTTTGGTCACTCTTAAGAATTGAGCAATGGACCAATCGTTTGATAGATTCAAGGACATTTTCATGAGCGTTTTTATCTTTCTTTTGGTCAGGGCATCGAGGGGGTAATGATTTAAGGTCTATCTTCAGTTCTTTTGGGGGGGGTCACATGGTGTTTGTTCTCTTTTTCTGTGCAACAAAGGTTGCAATTCCATAGTTTTTATATCTTTAACTAGGCATTGTTGGTGGCACCCTACAACATGATTCACATTTTAAACAAACTAAACATACAAACAAGATGGAAACCATTCAGGCAAAAATGCACTTGGCAGCTTACTCCATGAATGTGCAAGCAAGTCTTTTGACCGGCCGGAGTCGACCCGTACACTCTGATAACTGGTACCTCATTCACTTTCCCGCCTGCAAAACATTTGAGGATTACCCAAAATTAGATCCTGAAAAAAAATCAAACAGCCCCTACTTCAAATCAACAAATATTGCAATCAATTGCTATTAAGAAAAATCCTCGTTCCAATTTCCAAGTGATTTCCATACTACCAACATATAAAATTCCTTGAATTGGAATGAAGTAATTACCATGGAAACTGCTGTAACAAATGTCGAGGCCGGGGATAGGAGGCGCCATGTAGTAGTCCATCGACACGATACGGACGCTGAATATCTTCGAATCGGGCTGAGAATCTACCATCTTTCTCTCTAGATATGAAACCTGCGGTGCCCTAAAAAGAAGGTATTTTTATTTTTGTTTTTAGTTTTAAGAGCATATGACGATGATATTGGGCGGGAACTGAAAAGTACGGAGTAGAATTTGGCGTGAAGATGAATTTCCCAGTAAGAGATGGCACTCTGGCGGGGTGGATTCCGGGGGCATACCGCCGGTGGCGGCAGATTTGAGCCAGGCAATAATTTTAAACCCCGTTAAAAACCCGGCATGGCCGCCGATTTCTAGGTTTTTTCCCTCATCCGGATTTTTTAGTCCTGTAAATTTCTCATAAATATATTCACATTCAACATGTTTCTTCATTAAACGAATTAATTAAGAATAGAATCAACGATTTATTCGTAATTATTTAAGCAAGAGACATATGTATCTGCCTCTGCACACCTAGATGTCAATCGCCTCTTAGCCTCTCTCAGTTGTAAGATGTTATTAGCTAATGTGATGTAGGTAGAATAACAAATTTACTTATATGTCCTTGTTTTTTTACTCAAAAAAACAAAAAGAATTCGCAAAATATAAAACAAAAAAAAGGGGAAAACAACAAAAAACCCAAAAAGCTGAAAATCAAAACCATAAAACACCAGGGGAAAAAAAGTCAAAGCATAATATTTCAATGAATAAAAAACATGAAAAAAAGAAAAAAAGAAAAAAAAACAGCAAAAAATGTGAAAAAAGTTGAAAGGGTTTGAAGAAGTGGAGAGAAAGCAAAATCGGCAGTGGAGATCGGAGAAAGAAAGCAAAATCGACCATACCCGAAGAAAGCCGTCGACAATCAATTCTAGGGAGATCCGCAAGAGCAGAGGAGAGGGCAGCAACGGAAAAAGAAAAACCTTACCTTGAATTGAGAGGTAGGGTTACCTCCCTCCACCTCGGCAAATCTAACTTGTTTTTTCTTCCCAAACGAGGTAAGGTGTAAAAATTACCTCCCTCTACCTTGCCTTACCTCCAACCAAACACTGCCTTAAAGTTACCTCCACGAGGGGGACACTATATTGTGTGACAACGATTCTCATAATCCCATGGGACCATGTATGTGTCCCGCTTTTACGCTCCAATTCATGCCTTTTCAAAAAACTCTAGATGTACATGGGATGACTCAATGAGACTACAATGAGTGTTACGGTTGTGCTCTGATTTCCATCATCTTCCCCTTTTTTTGTTTTTTTCTAATACGGTCGGTGTGCAGCCAATGTCCCAATTTGACTAGGTAATATTATTTAACTAAAGATCAATAATATACGAGCGATAACATAGTTTCATTAGGCTCATTTTTTTACAATCAATTATATAAAATGATTAAAAACACTACTATTTTTGAAAGAAAATTAAAATATTGTAAAAGTTGGAATAAAAATAAAACTAAGCAAAACAACTAAAAATTAAACTCTAAAAATATTAAAAATGCTTAAAAAAGAATAAAAAGTACTAACCCAACACTGGAAATATTATATGATTCGGACATTTTGGTCCAAAATTTTTCAATTATATATGAAGATTAGTTGAAAGTTAGAATAAACAATAAAGAAAAATTTGCTTTATATAGGACTAAAAGGTAGTACGTTTTTCTGAATAAAACCAAGTATGTTTTATGGTTTTTATGACATAATTCTATATGATCTACCATATATGCCACATTAACAAAAAATGTTGGATAATGACTGATTATACGAATGACTTTATGAATATAGTCATTAACAACAAGTGTTGAATAATGTCTGATTATTTTAATGACTATTCAAGATACTTTTAATAATGTCTTATTCTACTTAAATTGTGTAATATGTCATTTTCTCAAAGGCAACATATTTTAGAACATTCTATTGTCAAACGTTAGAGTAGATAGTACTGGTCTTATTTAGGTAAAAGTGATATGTTTAAATCACATTTGCGTTCATTACCAAAAAATGGAATATGGAGTATGAGAACATTCTCCTCCCAGGGGAACCATAGGGTTCTGTTCGCCCTAGCTCGATATGATAAATAATGTGATTCAGTAGACATTGCACAATTGACAAAGGTAATGACGGTCACTGGGTAAATCCGAATTTGATTTCTGTAAACAACGTTAGATGACTAAATGCAAAACATAGAACATATGCTATTTGCTACTCCATCCGTCCGGAAATAAAGTTTACATTTCTCCTTTTTCTCCGTCCGAAAATAAAGTTTACATTTCTAATTTTAACCCACACTCTTCCAAAAATACCCTTCTCCATTTCAATCTTTTCTCTCCCTCTCCCCCTTCCTCCTCTTCTTCCTTTTCCTCTTTTCTTCTTTTTCTTTCTCCCATCCGCCCGATCTATCTTTTCAATCCTCTCTCTCCCCCTCCATCCTCCTCTTCTTCTTCTTCTTGCTTTCCTTTCTCCCGACCGCTGTTCTTTCTCCCCCCCACCCCCAATTGAGGACGAGATGGTGCCAAGACGCTGCGGCTTCCCTGGTGGACGATGATGGCTGTTCCTGGTGCTCATATAGGGGAATAGAGTCGTGGAGAGCCGGGTCAGGAGGGGCCGAACGACCGGGCTCAAATCCGGGCCGGCTCAGGTTGAGCCGAAGTGGACGGCGGTTTTGGGGGAGGAACAATTTGAGGAGGGACATCCTCGACGGCGGTTTTCCGATTTTGAGCCAAATATCCGGAGGCGGAGGGGCGGCAGAAGCGCGGCGGCGGCCTATGGGCTGTTTTCTGATTTTGAGCCGTCGGGTCAGGAGGAGACTGGAAAGGGGGTATTTTGGTCATTTTACAAGGTTAGTCAACCTCTCTTAAAAATGACCAAAAGTCAAAACGTAAACTTTAATATCAGACGGAGGGAGTATTAATCTACAATTAAATTTCAATTTATATTTAGTGACTGTCTAGTACGGTCAAATGCTAGGAGATCCTTAGGTGGTGGGGCTCTATCTTTGAAAAATAATGTGGTTCTCTTCACCCTGGTCTAAACCATGTGGATGGAGTGAGGGTTATGAGTGCCCTCTGCAACACCTCACTCTCGTTTCACGAAAATGGCCGTAGCAGTTCTTCTCAGGCGCACGTTCTTCAAAAGCCCAAAACCCTTCCACTTTTCCCCCGTGAAACGCTTGTCTCTTCTCGCCTCGACCCCGCCCTCCACAGAGCCTTCTTCGCTGTCCGCCCGCATGCGCTTCGTCTTCGACCAGATTGACACCATCCAGGAGGAGCGGGCGGAGAAAGACCAGACACTCCAGCGCATACGCGCTTGGCGCGAATCCAAGAAGTCAGTTCAACCCCAACCCCAGCAACGGGAGACTCCGGATTCGGATCCTAATGTGGCGAAGGAGACGGGCTCGGAGAAGGAGGAGTGTTCTGCTGTTGGCCAGGGAGGCTTGATGGCCCAGGAGGTGGAGTTTGTTCACCCGTGGCCGGAGTGGATTGCGCTGATGGAGAGGCTGGTGCAGCAAAATTACTTTGATCACAGGAGGAAAGACGAGGATAGGATGATTGTGGAATCGGGCTTCAGTGTTCCTGCTGTTGCAGAACAGGAAGGGCTCGACTTCACCAGGGATTGGAAGACTGTTGAGACTGCTGTTCTCAATCTTGGCCGCGACAGATTTGATATATTGAGGTCTGTCATGCTCTCGTACACGAGTGGAGTGCTCTTATATATTGCTTAATCCGTCCGATCCCATATGAATTATTGATGCAGAGTGGTAATCTTTGTCAATGGATGAGTGTAGTTAGATTTTCACTTGCAATCTATTTGAGGGAAGAAATGAAGTGTGAAAATCAAATGACTTGTTGCCTCATCATATAATACTTGGCCCCGTACACGGTCAAGACATATTTTTTTCCTTGCATGTTTTCCCTAATCATTTATTACAATTGTTTTTATAGAGCTATTGATGTAGTTTTAGAATATATAAAAAAATTTATTTTACACTGATATATACATAAGTTGAATTGAAAATAACTTGAAAATGGGACAAGAAAATAACTTGAAAATGGGACAAGAAAATAACTTGAAAATGGGACAAGTATAATGGGACGGAGGGAGCACTGCAAAATGGAAGCAATTGTGGTTGGTTAATTATTATTGGGTAATAATGGATTTCAGGTCATTGCCTCGACAAGATCTTCAAATTCTGGTGGGCTATGGATGCCCTAGCGCAGACAAAAGGATTGTTTTTTCGGCCAAACTATTGAGGAAACATGTTCATATTGACGAAGGAGATGTAAGGATGGAAATGTATTTTGTGTGATCTTCTGCTTAATTTAATCTCTATTTGCAATTTTGCATTGCAATATGTAAGGCTGCTTTCCTTTGTTCTTTTTCTGCCTCTTAGGCTAGTATGAATGTGCAATGATATTCATGGTTCACCTACTGCACATATTTCAGGTTTGTAGTTCTTGCAGCCTGAGGAGCTCTTGTGAAAAGGCATACCTAATTACAAATAAGGAGGACGAGGCTAGGACTATTGATGTTATGCGTGTCCTATTGATGTTTGCCTTTGATCCGATTAATGGTTCAGTTGTTAATAAGTCTATTCTGAAGAAGAAATCTGTGAAGAATGTTATTCGGAGATTGCTTCATGAGGTGGTCAAGTTAAGTGCTGTCCCAATAGACCCAAATCTTCCACCTCCTATTATAAAAAAGCCCCAACCAAAGGTCAAACAGCCACCACCTACTCCTAAGAAACGAGTTGGGCGTGATGATGTTGAAATGAAGAAAGGAGATTGGCTTTGTCCGAAGTAAGTCTATTTGTTTTTCCACTTTGCTTTGCTTGAATTTAAAGTGTTAACTGATGTAGATCTAACACTCTAAATTCCAAACCAACACCTTTTACATATTTGGGATTAAGGTGATGACGTGACGGTTGTTATTCTGGAGCAATCTAGAGTTATTAGTCATTTTATATCATATTTTACTGCATGAAAATCTTTTCTTAGAATGATCTCTCTTCTGCTATGGCACAGTTGGCACTATTTAAACCAAACCTGACACCTTTATTTTATAACGTCATTGTACATTTGTACTGCATATTATTAGGGTATTAATTTCCCAATATTTCCAAATTAGGGTACTACTAAATCAGTTTTGAAATTTACAGTGCACATGTATCAGGTCTCCGTCAACTTTAAGCCACTTGCTCATGTAAACTGCATAGTGGCACAATGACGGAACAGCTGATGTGGTATGTGGCATGAATTGATGTCATATATTAGAAATTTCAGACATTTCTCTAATGGATGGATTTTAGATGATTAACCTTTTGCTATGGCGTTTACAAATTTAAACAAATCAAATTGTTTGAGTTTGTATACTCCGTATATATAACAACTTATGTATGTAGTACAAGAATCCAAGGATCTGTGAACAACTATCTCCTCATTTTCCATTCAATTGATGATGGACTTTGCTCTCAGATGTGACTTTATGAACTTCGCCAAGAATATTGTGTGTCTACAATGTGATTCCAAGCGTCCGAAGAGACAGCTGCTTCCGGGAGAATGGGAATGCCCCAAGTATGTACTTATCTTGCTCACAATTTATATATTTATTTATGCCGTAAAAGAATGTTAGCTTAATAGAGAGGTACACCATTCTTATACATCCAAATATTGCTCCTCTATGCTGCACACTTCATTAGGTTTTATGGATGAGTGCAATTGGATTTAATTGCCCTGTTTGACTATTGTATTCTAAAACTAAGGCGAAATATTATTTCATACAAGTACATGGTCATTTCCAAACTAGTTACAATCTAGATCGTTAGAAAAATCAGTTGGAGAACATAAATGTTGTTTTCTTAGCCACAAATTCTTTACTTTAAAAGGAAAGGGACCTTTTTTTGGGACGGACAAAAAGGAGAGAATTTTTTATGGGATGGAGGGAGTATAAAAAACACCCCGCCAAAGGGCATATTAGCATTGTTGTAATCAAGGAAAGACACTAATTTTCAAAGCATTTTATGTTGTTTTACGTGTCATTCGATTCATTCCTTAAATTTGAGGTGCTGTGGTGTGTGGAAGATCTGGATGGAGCATTAAGCTAATAAGTTGAAATCTTTTTTTCATCAACCAGTTACTGACATTTCAATTTATGAATAGCTACACCGTCCTAAGTAACTAAGTTATGCAATAAGTCACTGTGCTATAATTTGATGCATTTCTACTCTTTTTTTACTTCTAGTTGCAATTTCCTAAACTACCGGAGAAATATGGCGTGCTTTCATTGTGAAAGCAAGCGCCCACCCGATGAGTACACTGGAAGTCAACTTAGGGACAGACAACGTGGTCCCAGGATGCATTTAGATGATAAAATACCAGACAAGGCTTCCCGGCAGGATGTCACTAATGCTTGGAATTTGAACTTCGATGATGACGAGTCAGATGGTGCTGATGTTGCCGCCTTTGAGTATGCAGATTCTCGTAAATTGGGTGCCGATTTTCCACTAGACGGGCGAGTACAAGATGTAAGTTCTAAGCCTCCAAAGGGCTATGAGACTGATTATTCTGGACCCCAGCAACCAGGACTGGGATTTAATGATTTTGATGATGAGGAAGATGATGTTGACAGTTATGAGGTTGATACTCATAGTGGAATGCATAAAAGTTCTCAAATCAATTACTCAGATCTTGAAGATAACTCTGAAGATGAAGGTTTGGATGCTAATGATAATAGTATGCGTAATTACCACCACAAAAACACTTCAACCAATAGAAAACCCAAGTCAATGTCTGGCAAAGTCACTTCACCTGGATTTGAAGATTCTGAAATTGATTTTGATTCTGAGGATGAACTTCCAATCCGTTCAAATTGGAATTCTAGCCATCTTCCCAACTCTAAACAAAAATCTTATACCAGGCATTCCTCTAGTTTTGAGCCAGATGATGATGACCTTAATGAGGATTTCAGAAGCCGTCACAAGAAAGGTATGAAATCTCCCCGGGAGTTTGGAGGCAGAAGAGGCTTAAAGAACAAATATGAACGTTCCTCTGATTCAGACATTGATGACGATGATCTAAATTATCATACAAGCAGACAGAGAGGTGCCAAACCAGGTCAAAGGGGCAGACAGGGTTCCCAAGACCGCAGTGATGGGGATTATAGGCAAAGAAAGTCTTTCACAGATGACTCTAACAGAAGAACAAGGGATTTTCACAGGAATGGGAAGAGCAGTTGGGATGATAAAGACTGGAATAGAAAAGATTCTAGAGGCGGCAGAAGTGGTAGAGGAGGAGGATCCTTCAATCGTGGTCCCAGAACCAACAATTATGACAATCAATCGAGTAGTAGTTACCTGAACGATGAAAGATACAACAGGCCAAGAGTAAATGTAAGATGAAATGGGTACGTGATATGATTAATGTTGAAAGAGTGATTTCTGGCTTTCATTCAGAGGATCAGATGTTTCAAGTTACTCTGCACTTGTACCAACGAAGAACACGCCTGGAAGCTATGAAAACACCATTTTTTCTTCAACAAAGATCGATCAGAAGTTTTTTAGGGCAATATCTCGCAGATTGACCATTGATGCCATTGAGCTTCTTATTTCATTAGGACTAGAGGGATTCTAAGCAGGAAGGAGAGAAGACTTAGTATGCTTAAAGCTGATCGCTTGTCTACTTTGTAGTGCATGAAACTATAGTGAACCAAGAGGCGTTTGTTTCGTCATGGACTATCTAAGGAAGGCATCAAAAACTCTCCAAGGCTAATATGTACTGTAATTATTACAAGTCTCCAAATGTTTCTTGCGCAAAATGGTTGCTCACTTTCTATAGTTTTCATTCATACTGTGAATCATTCTCTTTCGTTGTTGTGTTTCGTTGTTGGGCTTGTGTTGAATGTCTTGAATGCTACGGTTCCATTTGTAGTGGGTTCATAATTTACAATGACCTGGTTTCGGAATACTCGTAATTTTTTCAATTAGTTTTAGCAATTTAGATTGTTTTTAGTGGTTCAGATTAATTTTGAAAATATTAAGTTAAATGTTGTTGTTACATGGCATCTTCAAAAAATTAAAACTAACTGTTGAAATTGCCCAAGACACGATATGGTAATCATGGTGACCTATAAGCCATCAACCAAATAACTATGTAGTACTTCACAATGAAAAAAATATGTTTAATGTGTATATTTTAAAACAGTGAAATATATTTATTGAAAAACACAAGTGTTTAATATGTAATTAAAAATAATAATTTTAATGTATAGAATTATTGTTTACAAAGTATCCCAAATATTTTTTTTTGGTTTGCATAATCAAATATATACGAGTACAAGAATATTAGAAAACACTAGATCGCTATGATAATATCATTTTAATTCTTTATCGTTTTTTCTTTTTCTTTTTTGGTACAAGTTTTTTTCTTTTTCGAAAGATGCATGGGATACTCCATTCAATTTTTTTTAAGTTACAAAATACTACGTATTTCGTATTATTAGAGGGTTTCATATTCACATTGATAAAAATGATTTTACAAAATCAGCAAGATAATGTTTGCCTTGAGTCTTGAGATTTTAAAATTTTAATCAATTTATTACAAAATCTATGTGAAACACGCATCATTATTTATGAATTCATGACGCGCCAAATGCAACATCTTTATCACGTACGGAGTACAAGTTTTGTGTCTATATTTTATGCCGCATCATATTGTATGTTACAGTTTTGGTACGAAGTATTATACGGAGTAGTAAAATTTGGACCGGTGATCATGTTGATTTTAACAAGATTAATTACAAATTTTACTCAATAATTCTACTAATACTGGTATTGAAATTCAAATATGCATTGTTTTTAAATCAAATAGAACATTTTTTGAACTTGAAAAGAAATTAATCTTCTTATAAGTTCTTTAATGAAATATGGAGTGATATGTTCTGATAAGCAAGAAAAACATAGTCCTTTCCTGCCACTATCATAGTAAAAAACATTTGAATGATAATATCCATGACCAACTTAATTGGAGATATGAGTGTAGTAGTGAAGAAGAACTTTTTAAGTTTATAAGAGATGGTAATAATTGATGGAGGATATTACAATAATAGGGGGCAATTTAGTGGTTATAAGAGCATGAACAATGATAAGGCAAAAATGGAATGCCACACGGTGACATTGAACATTTTAATCAATCAAAAATAATCTAGTCAGCGTGTGGCAATTGCATGGAGTGGCAAGTTCTACAATGGCAAGTCATTATTTTTTTTTATCATTTTTTTACATTTTTTTACTTTTTTAAACATACAGAATTTTTTTTATTATTTATTTTATTAAAAAATTATTCTACTTTCTTGTACATTTTTTTTCATAAAAATTTTAAAAAAATTATTTTTTAAAAAAAGAAAAAGAAAGTATGGAGTGCCACACTCATGCCTCACCAAGCAAGGCATTTTGGCCTTGTCATGCCATGATAAGAGTGGAAAAAGCTGATGTGGCAGTGCAAGGCATCCCTCTTCCTTGCCACTGCACATGCTCTAAGTATGAATAAAATATATACGTAGTATTTAATTACATGAAGTCTTACAAAAAATTCATGGAAGGAGGGTGTAACAAGTAATAATCACTTTATTCGTGTGAAACAACAAACAAAAATCAATCATAGTAATTTTACTTAATGTAATAATGCAACAATATACAAAGTATATAACATGAATATACTTAAAATAGGCTCAAATCACATCACATAGTTGAATTGTTCGAGGGTATTTGATGTATATTTTAATATTCAGAGGTAAATCGTGTAATTTTCGAAGAGTTCGAGGGTAAACGGTGCACTTTTTAATGTTTAGGGGTAAATCATACAATTTCCAAAGAATTCGAGGGTAAACGGTACATTTTCTTTTACTTTATCTATATGAGAATTTTTTATCGTGATCCAATAATATATCACTTGGTCTATTCCCCACATGAATTTATCTAATGTAATGATATAGTACAAAATATGGAGTATACCATACTCCTTCCATTAACATTTTATTGACTATGGAATATGAGTTTCGAAAATATATCAAAAGATGAACAATTTTTTGTGTTTCACAAAAGTTATATAGAGTAATGATCAATTAATTGTGAACGAAAAGAGCACAGAGTATATACAAGCGCGTGAATAAATTATGATACCTAATCTTCATTTTATTTGAGAAACATACTTTTTAAAAAATATACGAGGTATTTTTTTTACATAAGCATATAATTTATTCTAATTTTAAAAATACGCCTTCCATCCCACAATGAATTATACTCCGTACTATTTACTATTCAAAAATCATGTAAACTTTTCTTTATTGTATATTTTCATTGATCATTTGCTAAAATATGCAAGTTTAGTGTTTTATTGAGAAAAGTGTACCATTTACATCCGAATTTTTGGAAATTACATGGTTTACCTTTAAATATGAAAAAGTACACCAAATACCCCTGAATTCTTCAGAAATTACATGATTTACCCCTAAATATTAAACAATGCACTAAATACCACAGTACGGATCTTCGAAAATTGCACAGTTTACTTCCGAACATTTAAATAAAGACGATAATTTTGAGAAAGGATATTTTGAAGAATTCATTAGGGCAAGATGAATCATACTCGCAATTCTCATGAGTGGGAGCAACGTACTTCCTATCTAGCATTTTAGGACCAATGATGTAATGTTTTAAATTGTTCAGAAGTATTTAGTGCACGTTTTATTATTCAGGGGTAAATTGTGGAATTTTCAAAGAGTTCAATATTAAACAGTGCACTTTTTAATGTATAGAGGTACACCATGCAAGTTCCAAAGAATTGGGGGAGTAAATAGTGCACTTTTCTCATTTTTATTTGTAAAACTTTTGATATATACTTTTTAAATACAAGAAATTAAATTTTTTTATTTCCATGTTAATTTTTAAATAAAATAATTTGAAAATTTTTGAGATATATTTCATTTTCTTATTTAAGGAGGGAGGGAGTAATTATAATTATGTGAGCATGCCATACCCATGTCCGCCTATGTTAACCATGATTTGGTTAACAATTCTTCTACTTCTATCCAATTCTCCTCTACTTTACCCCTTCCCCAAGTCGGGTCACCCTCCGGTCCCTATACATATACGGATCATCACCCCTATCACTCTCATCTCTTCCAATTAATCTTTCGAGTAAGAAATTTTTGAACAGGTTTTCTTTTTCGTTCTGATGATCTGATTAATTATGCTTGTTTTCTCATCCGTTTTTGTTTTGTTCGCAGACTTGTTGTTGCTGGTGTTCTTCGCGACTTGCTCAGGTGAATTGTAGTTCATCCTTTTTATTTCCTTTGAATTGATCTTAACAGTTGTTGGAATCGCTATTGAAAGCTATATCTCCTGTTATATCATCTGCTTCTGAGCGGATTTGTTCTCATATTTTCTGCCGAATCCTAAAGAGTTCGAATGAGTTCATGTGGATTGTATGCTGATTGATTTGTAACTTGTAAGAACATCATTCCTTTCACATGAAGGGGCATAGTTGTGTCTAGAAAAAGGGAAAAAATTGAAAAAAATGTCATATTTTCTGCGGAATGGTAAACAGTAGGATGTTCGAATGAGTAATGAGTTCATGTGGATTTTATGCTGATTGATTTTTAACTTGTAAGAACATTCCTTTCACATGAAGGGGTATAATTGTGTCTAGAAAAGGGGGAAAAATGAAAAAAAACTGTCATTTGCTTTAGTAAACGTGCAATGTTGGTGAATCTGTGATATGTCATAGCATATGCTCTATATATTAGGCATGCTTGATCTCAGATTTGGTGTTTAATGGCTGTGTGTAAGCAGAGTAATGGCTACTGAAGGAGGTAAACCCGTGACACAAACCCCGGCCACACCTGTTGATGCTGCTGCGAAATCTTCATGCCGGAAGAAGAAGTCTGAAAGTGCCTCTTTTCTAGAGGATGTGAAAGATCACATTGACGAGTTCATTCATGCTTCGATGGATGAACATAAAACTTGCTTCAAGAATACTATTGAGAAGGTTTGTTTTGAATGCCTGATTTCTAATTGTCTGAATTAGTTTATGCAGCTCACATAGGGCATGAAGATGGATGTGTTGTTATTTACTTTTCCTTTCTTTATTCTGTGATTATTTTACCCTTACAGTTTATCTTTTTAGTTAGGGGTAAGATCAATGTACTTTATGTGGTATATTAGTTGTTAATTGCTCCATATGTGAGATGAGCTGCTATTGGTAGTATCAATGTGCATTGAGATTAATGTTGGCTTACCAAACTCCTTTCAGATGTTTGGAATGTCCAAGATTGTTGCAAAAAGGAATGCTGCTGAGGCGAAGGAGGTCGAAAGTGCACTTCCACTCCAGACAGCCGTATCTAAGTAGTATCTTCAAGGGCTGCAAATGGAAATGGAAGTCTAGAATAACACCCCCCCATTTTCTTTCTGTATTGTGAAGAGTTTTGACTCGAGTGGTATGTGATTTTGGTGTTAATCCAGTTCTTGTTCTTCATATGGTTTGAACGCGTTGTAGGAAAGACAACCTACTTTGTTCATTGTAGTATTGGGTTGTTTCACTTGTTTGTATGGTCTCTTCTTCTGGTTATGATCACGGCAATTTGGTATGATATGAACTTTAATGGTAGAAATTATAGTACCCAGTAGTCAATTTCCCCACCTCTCTTCAACAAAGCCTTCATGTTTTCCCCTCTGCAGACCCGCTTTCTTTCATTTCTCCCAAATTTTTGCTTGAGAACACGCTCATGCATTGAATGGGCACTTCAAGTTCTCTGCGCCGATGTGAAAAAATTGCATCTTCTTCCAAACACTACCTACGGATACAGGTCTACCAAACGACTCAAGAGCATCTAACTTCTGTTTTTTACTCTTCTTGCAATGTGAGGGTCAAATAGGACCGACGC